TTTCTTAAGAATACCTTAAATTCGGTATGGGTACCTAACATTCTAAATTACAAAAAGTGGATTTTACAGTACGAACATTGTCCTGGCTCAACTTCCAGCACTGTAACATCGAGGTCCTAAGGCCTGGAAGAGTCCCTGGATGGGTGCAGGCTGATAATGGACCTCAGGACCTTGTCAGTGTGTGCAGAGGATGCGAAGTCACCCCACATCCCCACATGGACGGTGCTTTGGTGCTTTGCGCTGTAAGGCAAGAACAAAGAGGCTCCGCCCACTCCAGATGCCAAGTGATTTTCCCCCAAGGCACTGGCCAGCAGTTCTGAAGCAATCTGACACCAGAGTGGAACAAACAAATAATTATGGTGATGGGAGCCAGGTGGCTCCCTGTAACAGAAATGCTGTGAATGAGCAGGGAGTCAGCGTAGAATTAGAGCCAGGGACTTCAGCAGGATCTCACGCGTTTAAGCTAGATTGACAATCGGATGGAAGACAGACAGATGGACGAGATCTGCAAGCTGCACAGGCTACAAGATACCCTGCGTTTAACTCCTCACTGAGGGGTCAAAAAAGCAACAGCACCCACAGAAGCAGGAATACACCCAGTGCCTGAGTCTTCACTTAACACCATTCTCCCAGAAGAGATGGCTTCTTCCAGCAATGCAGCAGCAAAAACGTTAAGACAAGCCCAGACCGTCTTGTAGTAAGAAACCATTCAAAAAAGCAGACCACACATAAAGGATGGGAGTGTGTCAAAAGGAACAGAAACCCATCAAAAGCCTCCAACAGCTAAAACAAGAACCAGTTTCAACAAGATCATCACAATAGTGCTGAATGTATAACCTAAAGTAAACAGAGAAATGCAGAGTCCATACTGACACAAATCACCAGAGGCAAATTTCCCACCCTAAGAACTCCACGACAGCACCTGCTCCACCACAAGGCGGCCATCCCCCCGCCTGGAATATGCTCAGCAGTGTACTCCCAGAGACTGTGGGCACAAGGCAGGGGCGGGCACTCCTGGACACACCTGGTGGATCCACCTTTACCAGACGACAGAGGTTCACGTCACCAGTGACAAGGGCACCTCAGCACTGTAGCCTTGGTCCCCAAACCTGTCAGCCCACTACAGTCATGGGGAAATGTTCTCCAATCCTGTCATGGATGTGACAACTCAGGTAATGCAGCACCTCTGACTGCACTGTGCAATGAAGAGGGAGTTAGTGGGAAAGCCAAGAAATCCAAACACCACCTTATCCAAGTAATACAGCAATAATTCCCAAAACATAGAGCTCAGGTACCAGCATTTTGTGTGAATATTAATGTCATAGTTGTGACAAAAGTACAGATTTGAGTAAGAAGATGTTTATCTGCTTGAAGAGCTAATGAAAATGTTTTGTTTTCTTCATTGCAAATTTATTACTGAGTTTATTCAAACATGCAAGCTGTTTTTCACACTAAGGACAAATTTTTTATGTATGTTTACATGGCTTCTTTTTTTTTTTAAGTTTTAAGCTAAATTAACATTACAAATTAAATAACCCTTTGCTGGAGTCACATTGGGAGGCACACCAAATCTCACTGGGCTGGGCTGGCTCCCGCCTGGGAATGAAGGAACCAGGGGAGGGTCCCGGCACCCGCCATCGAATGGGAAGCAGCAGGTGCTGGAGGCCTCAAGATCCCAACCAGAGCCCACCAGCACACAGGAAGCAGCTGTCAAACCACCAACACCTGGTCAGTCATCCTGAGCCAGAGACATTCTGAGCACAGACACCGGGGAAAGAGGCAGGAGTGACGGGATGCTTTCCATGACCAGGGAGCAAGACAACCAGGAGACAAAGGAAGCAGCTTCAGAACAACCTTGCCTCACCTCTGGGTCCACAACAGGCAGGGAGAAAACAAAAGCTGGGAGACGTTGTGCTGTTTTCCTATCAGCCAGGAGTTAGACGGCAGGGGCTGCTGCTGGCTCAGTCACCAACACGGATTTCAGCGACAACCGTGCCCCTTCAGGTAAGCACGCTGGAGACCCCAAACCACTACCTGACAAGTGAACTTGGAAACCAATCCATCTACCAGTCAGAGACCACCTACATAACCAGAAGCACATGCCCAGGAGTCAGGGCAGGGAGTGCAGGAGCTACTGTGACATCACATGAAAAACTGGGACCACTGACAGCAAACTGCAAGCAGAATTTTCAGCACCACTAGCTACAGTGTTTATGATGTAGAGATCATGAAAGACAGGGCCCAGCGGTGTGGCCTAGTGGCTAAAGTCCTTGCCTTGAACACACCGGGATCCCATATGGGCGCCAGTTCTAATCCTGGCAGCTTCACTTCCTATCCAGCTCCCTGCTGTGGCCTGGGAAAGCAGTCAAGGATAGGACCCTGCACCCACGTGGAAGACCCGGAAGAAGTTCCTGGATCCTGGCTTCAGATCGGCATAGCGTCGGCCGTTGCACTCACTTCCAGAATGAATCATCGGACAGAAGATCTTCCTCTCTGTCTCTCCTCCTCTCTGTATATCTGACTTTCCAATAAATAAATAAATAAATCTTTAAAAAAAAAAAAAGACAATGACAGAGTTTTAAGAGAACTTTTTCATGGAATGTGCTTAAAAGCAAAGGTGAATTAAATATAAGATCATGCATTATCTCTAAACATTGACTACAAATAGAAAATACAAATAAAATCCAAATATCCCAAGTATATTACTTCTTTTCTCTAAGTTGTTCTAATACAGTCACTACCACTATCACAAAAAACCATAAAAATAGAGCAAAACAAGGTACGTTCTAAGTACAGTCTATGGGACTGGGTGGTCCAGATGTTCCTAACAGTTAAAAAGAAAAATGTGGTAACCCTCAATAGCTACGTATATGAAAATACATGCCCCTGGTCTCAGAACAACAGCATAATGGTTAAAGTCCTCGCCTTGAACGCACCAGGATCCCATATGGGTGCCGGTTCTATCCCGGCAGCTCCATTTCCCATCCAGCTCCCTGCCTGTGGCCTGGGAAAGCAGTTGAGGGCGGCCCAAAGCCCTGGGACCCTGCACCGGCATGGGAGACCTGGAAAGAAGTTCCTGGCTGCTGGCTTCAAATCGGTGCAGCACCGGCCATTGCAGCCACTTGGGGAATGAATCATCAGACGGAAGATCTTCCTCTCTGTCTCTCCTCTCTGTATATCTGCCTTTCCAATAAAAATAAATAACTCTTTAAAAAATATGCTACCTTTCAAAAACAAACAAAACTTACCACTTGGAAGAGATATTCAAAGGCAACATACAATTTAAAAATAGAAGTAAACAATTGTCCAGTCTATATTTATGATTAAATTCAAAGAGAAAAAAAGCAACAAAACTCCTGCAGTGAATATTTGACATGCACAGCATGTTACCATTTAGACAAATATCTTTTTGAGCCTCACTACAGCCCTTTGCACAGGTAGGAGGGTATCATACTCATTTTACAGATGCAAGAACTCAGGCGGCACAAAGATGAAGGTGCTGACGAAGTCACAGGCAGGCTGAGGCGGCGCCACAGCGAGCAGCTTGGCTCCTGCTCAGAAAGTCAGCCAACAACCACAGCAAAATAAACCCGGCGGGCGAGGACGCAGCAACAGCGCACAAAGTTCAGAGGAAAACAAAATGGAAAGGAATATTAAAACCTGTGCATATTTTTCACAATGTTTTCCCTATCAATTTTTTTTGAAGGTTCCTCATATGATGGCAGAAACTTTTGCACCAAAATAATTGTATTTTTAATTCCACCTCTCCCTCAACTTCTGGAAGCTCCCTTGTCATTTTCACATCACACACACACACCCCTCCTTGGGAAAGCCATATACCTAGAAGAGGTATAAAAATAAAATCCTACTTTCCATTGAGAGAAACGGACTTTCAGATCCTCTTCTTTCAGTCTGACTAGATTCCCAAGAGGAGAATGAACATGCTAGCTTTCCGCTACTCTTGCTATTTGACAAATGCAAGAGTTTATGAATCAAAATTTGAAATAAGGCTTCTCTATTTTGAAATGTAAACAACCTACAGCTAATTCTGATAAGTCATCTTTAATTCATATGCTTTAAGCTTTTTCATATGTACTTATTTATTTATTTTGTTTTAATAGGGATATCCTCCTTGGTTCCATCTCAACTAGTCACACAAAGGAACACAACTTCAAGGGCAGCTGAAGACCACAGCTAAGTACTGCAGCTGTTCAACAGGCACTCTAACAGCACCAGCCACCTGTCCTTGGTCCTTGCTCCTGCGCACGGTTAATGGTCACAGAGAATGGAGGTGAGAGGAAGGTCCCACACAGCCCCAGACCTTACCACGTGCACCCACAGCGCCACTGACAGAGGGACGGGGTTATAGGGCTCACCCCAAACTGTGCTTCACAACACAGCAGGAACAGCAGCCCTGCCTTGCCCCTGCACATTCCTGAAGGCGAGGAAACCATTCCAGCCAAACATAAAACCAAGGCATGTCCTTGTCGCATGTGCACAGTTTTGCTCTGCCCCCCATAATGTTCTACCTGCCTTGTAACAAAAGACTATTATAGAGATTCCTTGACTAACAGGACACAAAGCCCACTGGCTTTGATGAAAAGATACACATCAAAAAAAAAATTGTTGAGTCAGTCACAAAGCTAAAATACTACTCAAGGAAAATGACACAGATAAACTCATTTTCAAGATTTCTAATCAAAATAATATCCACATAAACTAACCTCTTACAAAACAGCCTCAAAGTACTGGCTCATTTTGTAAACATCTTTATTTATGAAAATGTCTGACCTTTCTTGCTAAGGTTTCAGGATCTGGCCCTTATAATAAAAATAATCATCTTGCAAACTCAGGTTCCTGTCTTAAAAGCGATGCCTTTGCCTTACCTTTTCTGACTAAAAAGCAAAACAAATTGCATAATAAATACCATACAACACATGCTGTCATGTGCTCTGAGCAAGGACCTAGGAGTGACACACCACTGCCCACTGGACACTTACCTCCACGGGACGGTCAGTCTTGACCAGTGCGACACGTGCTCTTTGTAAGGAACCATCCATGAGCTTGTGAAGTCTTAAAATTAACTTTCTTAAGCCCATCTGCTTGAGGGCCTTGTCCACAAACGGTCTGTAAATCGAGGTCAGGCAGTGCCGACTGCAGCCAGCCTCACTGCCGCTGTCCGGGGCGCCCCAGCCGAGGGGCTCCTCCTCCGACTCGAGCCGTTCCAGCCTGCGGGCCACGCGGCCGTCGAGGCTGCTCTCCGAGGACCGCCGGGCTGGCGGCCCCCTCCGACCAGAGGCCAGCTCCTCTTCACTGTCATCCGTGCTACTCTCCAACTCCTTCAGTTCTCCTTCGGTGTCTTGCCCCTCGTCCTCCGGCTCATTGCCTTTGGATGGCCGAGGGGAAGGGATTTCAAACACTGGCCAGCCAATGTCTGACAGATTCTTGATGCCCAAAACAGTGCCCATAATCCTCAATTTCTGGTTTAAGTCTTTCGTGATGTTGAGCCACAGACAGAGCGCCTGCACCCTGTCCTGGAAGTCCTTGGCAGCGTATTTCTCGTAGTCCTTCTGGAGAGCCTGCAGTGACGGATAAAGTGCTTCTATGTACTCCAGCAGCTCCATGATCCGCTTCACCTGCTCAAACGAGACCCTCTGGCGCTGGAGATGCTCGTGGTACGTCGAGTCACCCGTGCTCTTGGTGCCACAAGGGGCCGTGCTCTGCCCTTCCGCTGGAGGACCGTTGACACTAGTGCCATTTCGGACAAAGGCAAAGCCCCCGTAATTCACCTTGAAAGTAAGGATTTCGTTGATGATGTCTGGGATGGCTTGACGGGCTGTATATAAAAAGAGGTCCTGGTCGTTGATGGTCCGTCCTGCATGCCAGGCTTGCAGCTCCAACCAGATGAGTTCGTTGGAGCGGTTAAACCAGAAGGCAGATGTATTTTCCTGGCCTCTTTGCTCCCTGTCCTTCTTCTTGGAGACTGAGGTAAGCTTTAGTAAAAGTCGTAAAGTTTCAAAAAACTTTAAGCGATCTGCAGGACAGTCAGTCCTGGAAGTCTGGCGTGCAGTCCTGGCGATGGGCATGGGCACGGAGACTGGGAGCTTGGAGTTGCTGCAGCCCAGGCTGAGGTAAGGCTTATTCAGGTCCACCTCGGGAATAGGTTTCTTTGGCAGGGAGCCGCCCACCGCGTCCAGCATGAAGGAGCACTGCGCACTCTTCTTGTGGTCGCGCTCCGTGGTCCTGAGGGCCGCCCGGATCTTCTTCTCCTGCTTGTAGCTGTACTCCTCCACGCTCTCCACCGCCTTCCCAGGCTCTTTATGTGGAGCTTGGTTAGCTGCATTCATTTTTTCTGTTTAAAAAAAAAAAGTCACGTAAATGAAATACAAAGCTACTCAACATGTCCAAAACAACTGATACTCACATGTTCTTATATACTTTCAGGGTGTTTTCGGAGAAAAAAAGTCCATATGCTGAATATTCAAAGAGTCAAAATATATACATAATGCTTCTAAGTCTTTTTTCTGAAGCTCCTGGGCTTTTGCCCTGCTCTATCACACTTGCCATGTTCTCCTTCACTGCCAAGTACTAACTGCAAGCCAGGTGCTCCTGTCTTTGCAACAAGCACATTCATCAAGTCATTTAATCAAACCCCAACCACAATCACCGTCCATATAAGAAAGAAGAATCAGCCTAGATCTGGCAGAAGCCTGCATCAGAAGGCTCCACCCCTCCTGCCTGCGACAGCTACCCGAGGCCAAGCACACGGCCTCCTGGGCACAACGAGGCTGCCAGAGCAAAGGATCCCTACGCCACCCTAAGACTGTTCTCATCAAAGCGGAGAAGCAGTTAATAAGCAGAAATGCAGGTCATGGTGCTTCACTTCCTTTATTTCTCCTTTGCCACAAATGAGCAATAACATTGAAAATTTTATCATGAGCAACATTAAACACATGTAGACTAATTACGTACCATTTGCCTATATATTGACACATAAAATCATTCACAATTACTGCAAAGGCAATTTAAAGCCAACTCGAGTTAGTTTTTTGAATATATTTTACATCATTACTTATTATTTTTTCAAGATTTATTTATTTTAAAGTGAGAGTTATAGCTATGGAAGGACAGAGTCAACCTCCTCCATCCACTTACTGATTCATTCTTCAGATGGCCACAACATCTGGAGCTGAGTCAATCTGAAACCACGAGCCAAGATTTCCTCTTGTATCCCACACACATGCAGGGAGCGAAGAAATGGGGCTACCCACAGCTGCTATCCCAGGCCATAAGCAAGGAGCTGGATCAGGAAAACGAGCACCCCAGCACAGGAACCAGCACAAACGGGATGCCAGTGCCAGCAGGCAGAACAGCCTGGCACATCATTACACTGGTCCCTATTTATTATATTATTACTTATATATAATTGTATTAGTTACATCATTTCTAACATGTGGTATGTATTTTACATGAGATGCCAGTATCATAGAGGTTTAACTTGCCGTGTCAAACTGTATCACATAATACAATATAATAATAATAAAAACTTGCTATGTCATAACACCAGCTGCCAAATTAGTTTTTTTTTTTATAAAGATTTATTTATTTATTTTTATTACAAAGTCAGACATACAGAGAAGAGGAGAGACAGAGAGGAAGATCTTCCACCCGATGATTCACTCCCCAAGTGACTGCAACTGCCGGTGCTGCGCAGATCCGAAGCCTGGAACCAGGAACCTCTTCCGGGTCTCCCACACGGGTGCAGGGTCCCAAAGCTCTGGACCGTCCTTGACTGCTTTCCCAGGCCACAAGCAGGGAGCTGGATGGGAAGTGGAGCTGCCGGGATAGAACCGGCACCCATATGGGATCCTGGTGCGTTCAAGGCAAGGACTTTAGCCACTAGGCCACACTGCCAGGCCCCAAATTAGTTTTTAATAAAAAAAAATTGTAAAGGGACTAACCCTCCCCTGAAAGCCCCAGGATCCCATATGGGAGCCTGTTCTTGTCCTGGCTGCTCCACTTCTGATGCAGTTCCCTGCTTATGGCCTGGGATACCAGCGGAGGTTGGTTCAAAGCCTTGGGACCCTGCACCCACATGAGAGACCCAGAACAATCACTGACTCCAGGCTCCTGGCTTCAGATCAGCTCAGCTCTGGCCATTGCAACCATTTGAGGAGTGAACCAACAGATGAAAATCTTTCTGTCTCTCCTTCTCTCTGTAAATCTGCCTTTCCAATAAAAACAACTCTTGAAAAAAATTTTCCATAAGCTTCCAAATACTTATTGTATATAAGAGACCTTCAAAAGGTTCAAGGAAGACACAGATTGTGAAAAAACTGTGCATGATTTCTAATTTTTTTGCACAAAAAAACTTACACATTAAATCCATCTTCCCAACTTTTTAAAATATCATGTTAAGTCCATCAAAAAGGTGTTAAATAGATCTGTCTAGAAACATTTGCTGTTTTTTAGTACAAATCACTTCTATTTTTAAAATTAACATTTTAAGAAGAGTGAAATTTTTACCTAGAGTATTAGTCTGTTTCATAAATTTTTTTTAAAGATTTATTTTTATTATTTTTTTATTGGAAAGGCGGATGTACAGAGAGGAGAGACAGAGAGGAAGATCTTCCATCTGATGATTCACTCCCCAAGTGAGCGCAACGGGTCAATGCTATGCCAATCCGAAGCCAGGAGCCTCTTCGGGGTCTCCCACGCGGGTGCAGGGTCCCAAAGCTTTGGGCCATCCTCGACTGCTTTCCTGGGCCACAGGCAGGGAGCTGGAAGGGAAGCGGGGCTGCCAGGATTAGAACCGGCGCCCATATGGGATCCCGGGCGTGCAAGGCGAGGACCTTTAACCACTTGCGCCACCGCGCCGGGCCCCTGTTTCATAAATTTTTAATGGTTTTTTTTTTCTTTCCATGATACAGTTCCACAGACCCAGGAATTCCCCCCCACACACCTCATCCACTCCCCCAATATTCCCCCATGTTATCACAATAGTATAGCTTCACATACTTTGAAACGTAAATGCTTTAACTTTTCCTATTTCCCAGTTGAAGACCTTTCTTTGCAGGAGCAGGCACTGGCACCCCTGCCATACCACCATCTCATCATCGAGCTTCCTGAGCCCCAGGCTGCAGCTCTGCCCTCCATGCCAGCTTTCTGCTGACGCCCATCCCAGTTTGGTCCCTGCTGCCCCTGGGGCAGACCTAGCCTGCACCCTCCTTGACTTCTGCCTTGCTCAACATATGGTTATTATGGATGTTTGGGAGTAAACTGGTAGATGGGAGATTTTTTTTCTCTCACTTTCAAATAAATTCCTGACTGATTTTTAACAAGGGAAATCCACTATCAACAAAGAAAAAAATTCTAAACAATAGAACTGTTCTTGGTTCTTGGAGGCCACAGCTGTGGTGTAACAGGCTAAGCTGCAGGCATTCCACAGGGGCGCGAGTTCCAGATGATCTACTTCTGATCCGGCCCCTATTGCTAACACTCCTGGCAAAGCAGCTGAAAGCAGCTGAAGTACTGGGCCCCTGCACCTCCATAGGTGACCCAAACGCAGCTCTGGCTCCAGTCTGGCCCAGCCATTACAGCCGTTTCAGGAATGAACCTCTCTCTCTCTCTCTCTCTCTCTCTCAAATAAATAACTATTTTTTAAAAAGGAAATTTCATTACATTTCATTGTTTTCAGCTATAACATTCATAAAATATTTGCCCAGGCTAAATCTTCCAAGTCGCCCTTGCCTCCTCTCTGCTTCATCAAAGCTTTTATTTATGCCTTTACTAATGGTACCAACACACACCATTCACTTCTATTTAGTTCACCAATAGCACTTGGAAAGCAGGAATGACAAAGGCTTCCACACTCCACTGTATTAGTTGTGGCATGGTTGCTTAAGCCTCTGCTTGTAATGCCAGCATCCCACATCAGAGTGCCAGTTCACACCCTCGGATGCAATGCTTCCAATCTAGCTTCCTGCTAACGCGCCTGGGAAAGAGGACGCTCCTCTGTCACCCACACAGGAGACTGAGATGGAATTCCAGCCTCTGACTTCAATCCAGGCCAGCCCCAGCCACGGAAAACATTTAGAGAGTAAACCAGCAGATTGAAGATTTCTTCCTCTGTCACTCTACCTTCAGATCAATGACTCTTTTTAAAGAACTGATTCATACTATACTTTGCTACTAACAACTATAAAACAATATGCACCCTGTATCACTGTGCATGACTGGAAGTAAAACTAACGAGTTTAATTCCTGATATGTTGAATCTGAAGAGCCCATGGAACACCCACGCACAGACTGCCTTGCAGGGAACGGAAATGCAGGTGCCAGGCTCAGGAAAGAATCAGGGCCACCAATTCAGAAGTCAGCAGGACACAGCCCTTCTGTACAACAGTCAGGGGACATGGCCACACGGCGGCGACAGAGCAGGGGGCGTGTCCCCAAGTACTGAGTGCTGAGTCACAGGATGAGCTACATGCTTCAGGTTGAAAATGTTTACATCAATGTGGCATAGCATTCTTATATATAAAGATTTATTTATTTATTAGAAAGTCAGATATACAGAGAGGAGGAGAGACAGAGAGGAAGATCTTCCATCTGATGATTCACTCCCCAAGTGAGCGCCACGGCTGATGCTATGCCGATCCGAAGCCAGGATCCAGAAACTTCTTCCCACACGGGTGCAAGGACCCAAAGCTTTGGGCCATCCTCGACTGCTTTCCTAGGCCACAGCAGGGAGTTGGATGGGAAGTGGAGCTGCCGGGATTAGAACTGGCGCCCATATAGGATCCCGGTGTGTTCAAGGCGAGGACTTTAGCCACTAGGCCACGCCACCGGGCCCAGCATAGCATTCTTAACAGAATATTTTCACACAGTTTATAATCCAAAAGCAACAGAGAGCAGTAAAGTACCACTTTGGTTATGTAACTTACTCATGTTACATAATTATGATTTAAAGATCTGGGGGGAAACAAAGAATTAACTGAGAGCAGCTGGCAACTCTTAACCCAGATGGCTGGAAATGTGACGTGGAAATCCAAGCCACAACGACCAGGGGACAGACCATAAAGCCATCAAGAGTTGGAAGGTTCTTTGCTATTAGTCAACAATTAACAGAACCAAAAGTGGAAAACGCCACAATTCCATTTTTTTAGACATAATCTCACTTTAGCAGGCTTGAAAATTTTTGTAGGCTCTCTACAACATCTTACAACACACAAATGCTAAGGCTTCTATTCACATGAAAACGTCACAGTCAGATATTTGGTTTGATAGAGGTAAGCAGAAAGACAGAACAGAAAGGTTTAGTCCCCAAAACACCAAAAACCAAACTGGTCTTGA